GACAGTGAACAGCATCCTATTTATGGAGACTACCCACGTACATGTTAATCTTCCGCTGTTAAAGTTGACCTGTAAGTTTGTCTTAAAACTTACACTCACTCAGTTCCCATGGATTCTGAGGAAAAAAGTAAGATTTTACTAAATATCTACCAATGTGGATTCTAAAATATCCTGAATCAATGGAAGAAATGAATAGCAGGCATTGTTTTAAAAAAGTAAAGAAATAAATCTAACCATTCCTGTCATAATATGTTACTAAAACAAATACTCTCTAGTTGTATCTGATTGCAAACCATACAGCATTTATGGACTTTCTGATAACACGACTTTGGAGCTTTTCTTTAGTTTCTCTACCAGGTAACCAAACATCATCCACAAAGGCTAAAAATGTGATAATTCCAACAGCTGTCATCAACTAGAACATCAAGAATGACGTCTTTAGCATTTGCCAACACAGGATGAAGCTCAATTGATCAGAAAATCACAGGAGCTGATACATTTATTAAGTTGTTGTTGTTAGGTGCCATCAAGTCGATTTTGACTCAGAGTGACCCCATGTGACAGAGTAGAACTGCCGCATAGGGTTTTCTAGGCTGTAATCTTTACCAGAGCAGATCGTCAGGTCTTTCTCCTATGGCTGCTAACCAGAAGGTCAGTGGTTCGAACCCACCAGCCGCACTGCGGGAGAAAGATAGGGCAGTCTGCCTCTGTAAAGATTACAGCCTTGGAAACCCAGTGGGGCAGTTCCACTCTGTCCTATAGGGTCGCTATGAGTCAGAATCAACTTTATGGCAATGGGTTTGGGTTTTGTGTTTTTGGTCTCATTATACTGAGCCCACCCAGATAATCCAGGATAATCTACCCCTTTTAAAGTCAGTTGATTAGCAATCTTAATTCCATCTGCAATCTTAATTCCCCCTTGACATGTAACATAGCATATTCACAAATTCTGGGAATTTGGAAGTGAATATATTTGGGGGCCTACCACACCCACCAAGAAACAAAGCTTGGTTAATTTAAAAAAAAATTGTCATTTTATGTAGAAAATACTCAGGAATGCAGTAAAAAATATTAGAACTAACAAATTCAGCAAGATTGTAGGATATAAAATCAATATACAAAAATCAATTATCTTTTTATATATTTGCAATAAACAAATTTAGAATATATAAATGACTCTCACGGCACAATAATGAAAGAAACAAATAACCCAATGAAAAAAATGAGCAAAGGACCTACAGAGACCTTTCTCCTGGGAAGACGTAGCCAGTAACCAGTTGCTGTTTGGTTGACTCTGACTCATGGCACACCCACGTGTGCCAGATTAGAGCTGTGCTCCATAGGCTTTTCACTGGCTGATTTTTTGCAATTAGATTGCCAGGACTTTCTTCTGACATGCCGAAAACTCCAATTTTTCAGTTAATAGTATGAAAATACTCTCAACAACTTTAGTCATCAGGAAAATGTTAACAGAAACCACGGTGAGATACCACTTCACACCCACTAGGATGACTAGAATCAAGAAAGCAGACAATAAAAAGTATTGGTGAGGATGTGGAGGAATCAAAATCCTCATACCCTGAAGACAGGATGTAAAATGGTGCAGCAGCTAAGGAAAAGAGACTGGCAGTTCCTCAAATGATTAAACACAGAATTTATATAGGACCCAACAATTCTATTCCTAAGTATATACCCAAGAGAAGTGTAAACGTCCCTCCACACAAAAATTTGCATGCAAATACTTATATTAGCACTATTCATAATAGCCAAAATGTGGAAAGAACCCAAATGTCCATCAATAGCACTGGAATTTAATCAAGTCTTTAGAGCTGAATTTAGTATATAGACATACAGGGCACAGGGAGCATGTTAAAAAGCCACAATGGAACAATCAGACAAATCCAGAATGTAGGACTTTATTCAAGAAAACTGGCCTGGTCTATTCAACAATTCAGTATCCTTGCAGGGAAAAAATAAACAAATAAAAAGCGGGCTATCTTAGTTATCTATTGCTGCCATAACAGGCATACCACAAGTGGATGGCATTAACAAACAGATATTTATTTTCTCACAGTTTAGGAGGCTAGATGTCTGACTGTCAGCTCTAGGGGAAGGCTTTCTCTCTCTGTTGGCTCTGGAAGAAGGTGCTTGTCTCTGAGCTTCTGCTCCTGGGCAGTCTTCATGTGGCTTGGCATCTCTCTTCCCCCGTCTATGCTTCTTTCTCTTGCTTGTTTAGTCTCTTTTATATCTCAAAACAGATTGACTCAAGACACACCCTACACTAATCCTGTCTCATTAACATAACAAAGACAACCCATTCCCACATGGGGCTATAATCACGGGCATAGAGGTTAGGATTTACAACACATATTTTGAGGGGACATAATTCAATCCAAAACATAGACTATTCAGATTAAAAGAGATTTAAGAAGCATAACAACCAAATGCAACCAATGATCCTTTCGGATCCTGGGTTGAAAAAGTAAAAGTTATAAAAGACATTAGTGAGCAAATGGTGAAATTCAAACATGGGTGGCTAAATAGTTATTAGGAAACCACTACTGGTTTTGTTCGGTGTATTAATGGCATGGTGTTCACCCAGAACAAATACCCCTAGTCTTTGAAGACACACACTGAAGTATTGGTAATTGCAATTCCCTTGAAAATTGTACAACAAGATGAAACAAATATGGCAAAATGTTTAACAATCCCTGCATTTCAGGGGTGGGTATACATGCATCCATTGTAACGTACTTTCTGCTTTTCTGCAGGTTCAAATATTTCCATTTAAAAAAGTTCAATAAATGAATAAATACGAGAAAAGTTTGCTCAGATATGAGCATACAGTTGCTGTCGAGTCATCTCTGAATCATAACAAACCTTGTGCTCTATAGGGTTTTCAATGGCGGATTTTTCAGAAATAGATCATCAGGCCTTTCTTATGAGGTGCCTCTGGGTGGACTTGAACCTCCAATTCTTTGGTTAGCAGCCCAATGTGTTAACTGTTTGCACCAAGCATACTGTACTCTTTTTTGTAAACTGAGAGCACAATAGAAATTGTATACTGTGTAAAAGGTAAAGAAATTTCTGAGTACTAATTATTTTAAACATTATTTTAGAAGCCTACCCAAGTACACTCCTAGAATTTACGCAGAGAAGTCTATCACTGTCATGTGGGCCTGCTTATTTAAAAGCATGCCTTAAAGACCTAAAACCGATGCCCTTCTCTGGATTCCTCAAGCTGACTCAGTCCAACCTGAAGCCAAGGTTGCCCTTCACCATGAAGTCGAGCATGAGAAACTCCAAGATAAAGGATAGTCTAATGTGGATTGGAAATCTTCATGTAAAATGTCCTCTTGTTAGTTTGGCTAAACTCATGTAATATTATGTTTCTAATGATGGAAGTGGCTGCACTTTTTCCATTAGAAAAGCCAAAATAAATTGGAGAGGTAACGGGAAAAGCAAAGTCTCCTGCAGAAGCATTCTTACTATTGAGATGAAAGAAGGCCAGGGCAGAAAGGGGCCCTTCTCTCTTTTCCTTTAGGGGGATTTGAAAGTATTAAGGCATGACATATTAATTCAAGACTTAGGGATGAAAACTATTGGAGGCACAATTTTACTTCC